GATGAGTGGACTCGTTAGTTCAAACGAATGAGACCGTGGATTCAGAGAGCTGAAGACAGAACCGTGGTCCTGTCTGAGCCCATCACAGGAACCTTTAAACCACCTGGAAGCAAAACCAGTTCAGGGTCTGGTCTTGGATCCTCCTCTGGACTCGGAGGATGCTACAGTTTCTGAAAAGCTGGAAGCTCTGAGGAACGAAGAACATTCAGAACCTGGAAGATGAAAACGGTCAAAGAACGCTTTTGACCCTCAGAGACCTTCATCAGGTGTTGGGTTGTGTCACCACAGAAGTTCATGTTTTTATTTTTATTTTATTATTTTCTGTTTTATTTTGAAGGAGGATTGAATATAATTAGTAGAGAAGCTGCTGCTAACGAACCAGACGACGTTCTGTCCTCTGAGGTCCTGACTGTTCTACTGAAGACAACCTGTTTGCATCCAGCCTGTGTTGTTTCGAACATTTCCAGTAACCTGCTCGCTTCCTGGCGCTGAGCGTGAAGAACCCGTCGCTGGAGCTCGTGCCTCCTCCTGTTTGCTGGTGTCGGGCCTCGGCGCTGCTGCTGCTGCTGCTGCTGCCGTGGAGGTTACAGCTGGTATAAATTCAGATGTCACGCAGCCTGTTTAATAAACAGCCCCTCCGGTCCGGGCTGCCTTCTATTTTCGACTCGCCGCCGTCCGGGGCTTCTTTTACGGGACGGCTATTATTCAAAGGAGAATAGGTGCAGGCCGCCGCCATAAATTCCAGCAAGTGGCCCTTCTGCGCCGCGACGAATTGACTGTGATTTTACTGGGCCTCGTCGTGACCTTTTGAGCGGCGACGCGCTCATTTGTTCGCCTGACAAGAGCGGCTCTAATAACTCAGGCTGAAGCCGGGCTTGTTCACCTGGAGAGCACAGGCATTAGTTTCCCTGACGAAGGGAAAACCCTCCGAGTTGTGGGAGTCGCGGCCCTCGGCGGCAGGAAGACACGAGCCGGGCGGCGCTGAGCGTTCGCGTTAACCTGCGAGACTCCATTTATCAGAGACACGAAGCGAGAAGAGGCTCAGGAAGCTCTCAGGTCGGTCAGCGGACGTGAGCAGGAAGAAGAATAAACAGAAATATGTTGAAACAAAGGCCAAAACCTAAAGGTGGAGACGGACGGTTAGGCTGGAGGCTGCTGGTTCTGTGTCCCGACATCCTCCAAATACTCTCAATGAACTGATAAACGCTGACTAAACCTAACGGCTCCAGTTTTGTCCAACGCGACTAAAAGCTTGTTTACAGGACAAACAATCGTCTGTTGATGATCATGTGACCAGCGTCCTGAAAACACTCAGTTTGTCTGAAAGCGACTAAAACTCGACACCAGGTCTCTAAATTTATCTAAAATGGTGAAAACGTGTCGACGATGACGAGTAGTTTTATAAAACGACTAAAAAATGTTCTAAAACGATTAAACTTGTCCAAAACAATCAATGATGTTTGTCTGTTATTTCTGACGGTCCTTGAACTACTCATCTGTGGTCCATCAGGTCAATTAACCAAATAGGAAATTAAAGACTAAAGTTTGTTTTTAATAGAAACCCACTGATTTGTCCAAATTAACTCGAATCTTGTCCAAAAAACTCAGAAACTTTTGTGGATTCCTTTAATCGAACAGTTTTGTACCATCAGGACTGTTTTTATTTGTCTTTTTTTTATTTTTGCATCTTTTTTACAGGAATATTTTTGCTCTGTTTGCATAATTTCTGTCATTTTTGTCAGTTTGTGTCATTTCTGCATCTCGTTATCGTCTTTTCAGGGGAGTTTGTGTCTTTTTCTTGTCATTTTTGCATCTTTTTGTGTGTTTTTTTTGTGTGTTTTTTGCATCTTTGTGCGTCCTTCTGGCTCCACAGAGCTGCAGGACTCGACGTCGCGGTGACACGTGACCCACAGCGAGTTAAAACGAGACGACTTAAAGACAAACCCAGAACCTCAGAGGCTGGACTGAAGCTCAGGTTTTTCTGTTTCAGGGTGAATCAGACGTTTGGTTTGGTTCTTGAAGCGTCACATTTCCAGCCCATGGAGCGGCGAGCGGCGAGCGGGGGAGGGTCGCCGCCGCCCAGTAAGCGTCTCTTTGTCGGCTATTATAGTCACATGAAGGAGTGTGAGCGCTGAGAGGAGGCGGCCGGCCTCGGTGGGAGGCGACGCCTAATTACGCCTCAAACACAGCTTTTCCCCTCGAAGGGAAGTCGGCTGTTTGTTAGAGCAACGAGCCGACAGGCGTGAAGGAATGAACAGAACCAACCGGGCCGAGAGGCGGGAAGTCACTTAAACTGTCGGTTACTGAGCGCGCTCCACCAGAGCCCTGAAATAATATAAAATAAAATACGATTCTGACAATAATTCCCCCAAAAGATTTTCTAAAAGACAAAACCGTGTCCAGAAAACTTTCACTGAAATGACAGGAAACTAAAAACGTTCCAAAATTATTATTTTTTATTATAAGAATAAAATTTAATTATTATAAGAATTGTCTAAAATGAAAAAAAAACTGTGAAAATAATTCTTCCACAATGACTCGAAAACTTGTGAAAAATGACCAAAACTGGGTCCAAAAGACTTAAATTTCATCCTAAATGAGCAGAACCCGTCCTCATAATGGTCAGAAACCAAACAAACTGGGTCAAGACAACAGAAAGATCATCTGAAATGATCCACAGTGACCTGATGGATGAGCTACTAGCTGTAGTTTAATTTAAAACTGTGGCCACAAATAATAAAAACTGTCCAAACTGACAAGAACTTGTTCATGAAGTGACTCAGAGACTCGAGCTCGAGTCCAGATGACTAGAAAATGACCTGAAGTGACGAAAACTCTTCAAAGAAAACTGTCAAAGAGAAAAAAAATGTTTGTGAAATGACAAAAAAAAGATTAAAAAAAGGCTCAACAATCGTGTGAACCGGCCCTACAGTTGGTCCAGAGCGGCTTCGTGTTGGTTCTGCCGCCTGGAATCGTTCCAGGAAGCTGAAGTGTGCTTTAGCGGAAACAAAGCGCCGCCACTGACTGGCAGCTCTGCTCGTGTCTTTATTATGGATGAAACGGCAGCGAGGCCTCGCGGGAAATCCTCTCACAGCGAGGTGATGTATGAGGCGGGTAATGGCAGCCTGCAGCCCTCTGATCCGCCCTCGCACATCATGATTAGTCCTGCTTAGCGTTAGCTGCTAGCCGTTAGCGCTAACAGGTTCAACCCGCAGTTCAACGAGCTGCTGTTTGATTAACTCCCCGAGTGTTCATTGAAAACACGTATTTCACCTGCAGCACGTCTCAGAATGAACCGTTTACCGGCTAACCGGGCTCCAGCTCGTTCACATGGACGATTACTTTCATTATCGGTTATTTTCTGTTCACCGTAAGGAACGAAAATGTCAGAAAAAATGAGTGTTTACCAAAGACCAAGATCAGAAACGTCATGTTTTATCCAAAGATGTTCAGTTTGCTGTCACAGAGGAGAAAAGAAACCAGAAAATATTCACAGTGAAGAGGCCGTGATCCGGCCGTCCATCCACCCCGACCTCCTCCCTCTAACGCTGCTGATTAAAACCAGTAAATGTGAGGAAGCGTCTTGTCCTGTCTGAAGACATTCAGTTTACTGTGACAGAGAAGAAACCAGAAGACGTTCCCACTGAAGTCGCTCCAGTCGCTGAACTCAGTTTGTTTTTTACTAAAAGTCGTGAAACCAGATTTGTGGATCCAAAGGAACCGAAGACACCCGGTTCTGAGGAGCTTCAGCCGGAGGCCGAACAAAGAGGCTCCTCGGTTCTGAGGATAAACTCGTATTGTTCTTTCCTTCTGAAGCCGCTGAGCCGGGTTGAAAAGCGGCGAGTCAAAGGTCAACAGTCGAAGCCACTCAGATGACACGAGTGAAAACCCCCGACTCAACTTTAACCCCAGAACCGACCCACCGACCCACCGACCCCCACGTCAGCGCCGCCACACCGAGCTGTGGATCAACGCCAGCGTTTCCGGTGTTCTCGTCGTCTCCTCGTGTCAGACTGAAGGTTGACAGCAGAGAAACCTGACGGATGCACTCTGAACGCATCGTGACCTTTGACCTGTTGAAGCGCTCAATCATTTGTTTCCTCCGATGCTACGTGTTAGCTGCAGTCAGCTGTTGTTTGCTAACACTCTCCTGACTAACTCTGAGACTTCAACCTCATCGTTTTCTCACGTTTTCACTCACAGTTTTATGCACTGTTAGTAGAAATTAGCACAAAACGGTAAACAGAATTAGCCTAACATGCTAACCTACCACAAGTAAAAATTAGTGGTAGGTTAACATGTTGTGGTAATCTTTTAGCTAATAAATGGTGTAATTCTGGCGCTTGTTTAGCAATAAAATGCTAAAGCTAATTTCTGCCTATGGTAATTCAGACATCACGCAAATTTTGACCTGCGTCAGTTTGGCTAATTTTTTTACCTACAGTAGGTCAGCGCCTCATGCTAACTGTAACCTACAGTAGGCTAGCATGTCATGCTAATTTTTACCTACAGTAGGTTAGTACTTCAGGCTAATTTTCACCTCTGGTGCGTTAGCACGTCGTGCTAGATTTAACCTTTGTAAGTTAGTGTATCGTGCCAATTTTTACCTACGTAAGTTAGCATGGCGTGCTAATTTTTTCACCTATGGTAGGTTAGTGCATCACACTCATTCTTACCTACGATAATGTGTCATGCTAATTTTGACCTACGTAAGTTAATGGCTAATGCTAATATCTGCCTGTGGTAGGTTGGGACATCATCAGCTAGCTCGTTTGGCTAACACTACGGTGGGTTAGCGTGTCATGCTAATTTCGTTGATAACGTGTCGATCCCTCAAGTCTAGCATTTAATAGACACCTAAAAAAAAAAAAAAAGACGACGTTTCACTTTCTGTCAATAAAGTTTTTCTTCTGTTGTTTCGTCTTCTTGTCGTCTCCCGAGTGCCTCCGACTCGACTCAACATTTGCTCTTCTGTTCTCTTACAGCCGTCGATCATGGAGACTCCGGAGAAAAAAGAGAAAATGGACCTCAGCGGTTTCGCCGACATGCCGAAGAAACCGGAGACGAGAGGTGAGTCTCAGAAACTCCGGCGAGAATCCGGCGTTCGCCCGTCCGGCCTCGACACGCCGAGCGTCGCAGCGAGGCGGTGCGAGCCGGAGGGCAAAGGGGAGATGAAATATACATTTCAAAGGTGATCTCTGGAGACGAGGCCACTCCACTGTAGAGGCCTGACAGGAATCCCGAGCAGGTCGTCGTTAGCGTTCAGCGCCGTTAAACGCTGACGATCAGGCGACATGACAGCGGCGGCGGCGGCGGCAGGTGAGAACCGTGTTTGTGTTGTCGAGCTAAATGAAGAGCAGCAGCGCTCAGCTCCTCGGCCCGAACGGGGAGTCCATGTTTTAAAGATGTCAGCCGGCGATGATGAAAGCGCCGCATAATGAGGCTCAAAGACCTTGTTCTTACCTCCAGAGTATAGAGGCAGAAAAAACGGAGCGGGCCGGCGCTGCTGGAGCCGAAACGCCGCTTCAGAGGGCTGACAGAGATACGAGCCGACGGGCCGCCTTTGAAATGCAAATTAAACGTGTGATTTAGTGACATTTTTACTCATTCATGAAGGACTTGGTGGCCTGCCATTATAAAGAAACACTCATCAATTGGTAAAGAAGCAGAAAGTCGGCTCGGGAGGCGAAGGACGGCGGCGGCGGCGGGTTGTCGCGTTTTATTGAACTTTGTGCAAACACCAGGCGAAGCAGCAGAAACTCGTCTTCATGGGAGCCGGTTTGTTCCCGTCATGTTCTGGTTCAGTCGGAGTCACGTGACCGTCGGATCAGATCACCGAACCGGAACCGTTCATGAGCCAGAAACTCATCAGAGCTTCTGCTTTCCCACCAAATCTGAGCTTCAAATTAAGTCTTTGTTTAAACGAAAATGGCCAAAAATGACGCGTTTGCTTTCAACAGATTCTGTTAAAAAAAAAAAAATCCTGAATTTCCTCCGACTGAAGCGTTTCTACGGAGCAGAGAGGAAACGCTGTGGAAATAAACCTAGAAAAAATTACATATCAGCCAAAAACTGTAAAAATAGTCAAATTCATCAGATTATCTGCTTTCCTACGGTCATTAAACGCATCACCTGTGAGGTTTAGTTCCATCTGAAAATCCACGTCTTCTTTAAAAACTAACTAAAAGCAAATAAACTGCTTTAACTGGACAACAACTCAGTTTTCCGGCTGGACTGAAGGCAGCATTTCCTAAAAAACTACCAGATTTTCTACTTTCCTACGATCCCTAAACGCACCATCTATTTAAATACAGTCCAGCAGCATCAAAACACATCTAAGAATCTGTTGTAAGTAGAGTCACGTTGTTTTTTATCAGCTGGAAACCGTAAAACTACGATTTGTCTGCTTTCCTACGATCCCTGAACGCACCATGTGCGAGGAAACTAACTAAATCTGAGATATTTCATCCGAATCGCTTTTTTCTACGTGTCTGTTTTGAAAATTAAATAAAAATAAACAGTTTTAACCAAACCAAAAATTCCACTTTGGGCTGAACTGAAGGCAGCGTTTCCACAGAGCAGCGCAGAAAAACTAAGATGAGGCAGATTTTCTACTTTCCTACGATCCCTGAACGCACCATCGTGTCTAAACACACTCAGACTGATGAAAACTTCTTTTCGTATAAATGCCGCTGTGGGTTTAGCGGGTTCTGTCCTTCAGCGTGGTTCTGATGGTTCTGACCCACATTCCAGCCGGCTGAGGCGCTTCGAGTCGAGCCGGACGACACGTTTGCGGGACGCCAGCGTGATGAAAGCGCCTCCTAACGAGGTCAGAGGAGAAAAGGACGAATCAGTGGCGAGCGACGTTTGAAGTGTTAATGAAGAACGTTTTCATGTGAGCAGCTCCAGCGTGTCGGTGTTTTAAACTACACTGTAAAAATCTGTTCTGTTTGCATTTAAGGTTTTTAAACTGTCTAAAGTCAGCGAAAGGCGTCGATGTTTGACAGACATCTGCTGTTATTTTCACTTTCTTTTAACCTTAACACCAGATTGTTTTAACTAAACTAGTTTTACAGTGTACAATCCATGTTTCAGTGAACTAACAGGAATTCTTTGGTATTAAACTCCTAAACTCATGAGTTCTACTGAAACAACATTTGTTGCCGTTTTTTTTTTTTTTACAGTTTTGGATGTTTTTTGTTTTAACCGTCATCAAGTGAAACAATCTTTTTTTTTTCTATGATTAATTAATTTTACAGTTTATTTGTTTTTGACAGTTAAAATGTAAGTTAATGTTTTATTTTACTATTTATCATCTGGAATTTAACCAAACACTGAAAAACTGTAAAATAGATTTTTTTTTAAAAACATATTTTCTGTTTGTAAATGTTTAATTACACAATGAACGTGATTTTGTTTTAAAAACGCATAACTATTTAAATACTGTAAAAATGTACTTAAATTTACTTTTTAATGGTTAAAATGTAAATTATTAAATTATTTTATTTTAGAGATTTTGCTCGTTATTATTTATAATTTACCAAAGTAGGAAAATACGTAAAATACCAGGAAAATGTTTTTTAAAAAAATAAAAAATGTTCTTTTAAAAGTTTATTTTTACAGTGTATGGAGATTTCTCTTGGTTTTTTTTGTTTATTTTTTTTTTAACTCCAATGAAAAAGTAATTTTACAATTTTATAAATTCTGTGTTTGAACAAAACAGGCTAAATCTATAAAAAGTTTTATTTTTTATTTTTTACAGTGTTCTTTATTTTAATTCAGCACTTATATTTGTTATGATACAGGAAGAAGTGATTTTAATTATAAGTTTTTGGTGAAACATTGTGCAAAAATGAATTTTCATTTTTAAAATACACATTTGTGAATGTTCTTTAAAATGTAAACATATATAGGCTTTATATCTATATAACTATAACTATATATATATATATATATATATATATATTTTTATATATATATATAACTATAACTATATATATATAGTTATTTATATATATATATATATATATATATAGTTTTATATATATATATAACTATATATAACTATATATATGTAGTTGTTGTTTACATCCAGTCATTAGATTCTCTGCCCCTTGCCAGTGGCCACAGACATGTTTCAGGGTGAACAGAAAGTTTTTTACAGTGTTGTTTCCAGACGGAACACCTGAGCTCCATTTCTCTTCCTGTCTGGACCAATCACAGGTCGCGCGCTCTTCGGCCTCCTGAACTCTCGCGCTGTTGTATATTTATAAGTGACTCTTTAATCTCCTCGCGCCTAAAAACACTAAAAGTCCTCCTCGCGCGCTATCGGCTCCGGACTTTAATCTCAACCAAACACGAGGCTTCGATTCGCGCAGAATCAGATAGAGCGGCCCGTCTGCCAGCGCGCGGACAGCGCAATTACTTACGGCGCTAATATGCATTATTATCCGGCGGCTGCTGATGGGCCGATAGGACGGGTTCTGGAGCTCCTTGAACCCGGAGCGGGTCCTGCAGAGGAACCGGGCGGACGTGATGTAGTGCTGCTGGTTTACTGTCACCGGGAACAGGCCCACCTCCGGTTTACGGCCCGTTCGGCGTTATTTATCCACGGCGGTTCCGCTCTGTCACCGGTCGCCTCTAATGCCGAGTTTTAAGACGTTATTTACACATAAACACGCGCTATTTACGGCCGCGCGTGAGCAGCGGGCAGGAAATGAATGTTCCCGCGCCGCGCGCCGTTCTATCACACTGGAACAATCTGGACCGCTAATAGAACCATTTATCATTTGTTCCGCCCGGGCCCGGTCCCACAGGCCTCATGGAAATGGGCTGCGCGCGCAATCAAGTTGTTTAAGCAGCGGATGCGCGCGACGCCGCGGCTCCATCAGGACCCAGGTGGTGCCGGTACTGGTGCCGCCCGACCCGCCGGTTCCCTTATTCTTAAGCTCGAGTTCGGGGGATAAAACTCTGGCAGAGCGACTCCTGGACCGGGCTCCTGGACCAGAACCGGAGCCGCTAATAGAGTCAAACGAGCGGCTGAATGCGCGCTGACAGCTCGCATCTGTCCGCAGATTGACTGGGCGGTCCGGAGCCCGGTTCTAATAACCGGCGGTGTTCAGAGTCCAGCAGGTCCCGCTGATGCTCGTGTGGGTTTACGGCTCGGATCAAAGCTGATCCAGTTCAGTAAATGTGGAGGTTCTGGCTCGTTTCCTGAAATAAGGAAGTAAAATAAAATCTAAGAGATGATCCAACTAGAACTCAGCTGTTCAAACCGGGCAGTACATGTGGACTCACTGACGTCCTGTTCTTGGACAGTCTGAACCAGAAATCTGACATTTTGGATCAGAGGAACCACACACTGTAAAAAACGGAAGCAAAATAAAGTCAAGTCTGTAGAAAGTGAACTTGAATGTAGATGTTTTATGTCTTCGATAAGAACCGGGTTTCTTCCTGTTCTGAGGGAACCGGGACTGAAATGTGAAACAACAACAACAAAAAGGAAAACTGTAAAAACTGGACCTGAATTCACCCGTTTCAGGTCATAAAACGTAAACGTGGAGGCAACAGGAAAACCACGCGCTGCAAAAACCCTAAAAGTTAGTTTTGTGTAAATTATGTAAAAACTGAAAGTGAAGCAACAGATCAATGCTTTAAATAAACTGAGCAGGTAGCAGCACTATAAAAACCTGAAGTAGAAGAACAGAACCGAAGGATCAACATGTGAGTGGAAAATCACTTTAATGAATGAATACGTTTGAGCTGAATGTCGTCTTTTAGATTCACGTTTGTAGAAAACAGTGAAATGACCTGAAACGTGTAAATCAGCACGAAACACTGAAATACATCCACGTGTTTATTTAATAGTCGTATCTCATTTAAAACCACTTTTATGCACATAATGCTTTGATCTGGAACATGTTAAAAGGAAAACATTTGTTTAAAATAAAAAATAGAGAAATTGCACTAAATTAGTGAATATATTTTGCAAACCAATTATTTTCTGTCAAAAAATGATTTTTTCTTTCTTTGGTTATTTACATTTTATTTTACCTCCACGTGGACATTTA